GTTTTTTTGAGAGACAGGGTTTCTCTGTGTAGCTTTGGAGCCTATCCTGCCACTGGCTCTGGAGACTAGGCCGCCCTCAAACTCACAGAGCTCCACCTGCCTCTGCCTCCCAAGTGCTGGGATTAAAGGTGTGCGCCACCAATGCCCAGCACAATCTAAGTTTTGTAATATACTTTTTTAATCTAAAGGCCACTAATCGTTAGAAGGTTGGCTTCTTCCTGCAGGTGTTTAATAAGCCAGGGAATGAGTTAGAGTAATTTCCACAATGTTTCTGGGCAGAAGATATTTACTGAGCATCTACAATGCATTGACATTACTTTGCTGAGTTAATCTGTCAAAAGAGAAGTTATTATGGATGCAAATAGTTTCATAATAAAAACCTGTTTGTTCAATCATTCTTAACTTTATTATGGTACTAACTTTGAAAGAGATATTGTATACAGAATTTTCAGTAAAGGCAGGATCATGTCTCTGACACTGAATAGCAGATCCTATTATTTCTGTCCTTCAATGAAGAGTAGAAAGTAACTGGATGCTATATCCACAGACTGTCTGGCATATTTTCACAATCAGGGAGATTGTGACTTCCTCCAAAATGATCATCTTCAACACAGGTGACATGACCAAGGCACAGCTCTGTTTGGCCTCTTCCTCCACCAAATTGCTAACCCATATATCAGCCTAGGCAGTTTCATGGGAAGAAACACAGTTTGAAGGCGGGTCAAGGTTTCAGATTTTAGAGCAGGAAGGCTCCTCAGGCCTTGCCTTTCTTTCCCTTTGTCCTCCCACCTTATTAACTTATTCTTGTTTAACATGGAGTGGCAGTAATTAGCCTTGATCTGGACCTCCACCAAGGTTTGCTATCAAATTTCTTTCCTGTTTATGTTTGAGTTACTCAGCGGTTATCTGTGTGCTCTTTGGATGTATAAGACCTATATTTTTAGACTCCCTCGGAACAAAGTATGTAATCTTAGCTGACTAGGCTCTGGATTCTATCATTGCATTTTGCTATTTCAATTCTCACAGTAATGAGTGAGAGTAGTAATTCATCATTAATGGTCTTTTCCTATTTCAGAGAAAAAAAAAACCCTTATGTTTAAAGAGATTCATTGACTGATGTTGAATATACAGTGCCTAATTAACTTCAATTCAGTGAAACAAAAGTTTGATCTATAAATAAAACTCTTATGATTATAAAGTTGTTTCTGATATAATAATTTCCTCTTCTATATTTTCTGAAGTTTCATTTGAGTCATTAACTGGAGAATCACTCATTGGAACATAGAGCAATTAGATGTTATTGATTGAGAATTATAAGAACATGGAGAAATTAATTGTCTACTGATTATCATGTGTTGATAGAGTTGACAAGCTTGCAAATGATTTTATCCACCAAATGGAACTCATGCTTTCTCAACAACCTATGTTGTTTGATGAATATTCTGCGACACTTGTGATTGGATACCTCTTTTGATTATTTCAATTGCTATAAGAGGAAAGGAGACTGAATATCAGTTCCTTATGTACTCATATTATTTCTAAATGTGAATGATTCTTTTGTTACATGAATAAAATTTTATCATGTATAATTGAGGGATGGGAATTACTCTAGCCTGAACTCTTGTTATTCATGAACTGTTAGGTATCATTTAGTCACTTTCAATAACAGAGAAAAGTGAAAACAGACAAATAACTTGCTTAAGATCACAAAGATAAGAAAACTGCTTATTAAAATAATTCTACTCTGTTCATTGGCTGATAATGACAACATATTTATGGGATACAAATGTCTAAGGTGAGGATATGACAGTTCCTCTGTCCTTTTCATTGCACCAATATAAGTATAATTTATGGAAAACGGATAGCTTTGTATTAAAGCTTTAGAATAATTTTTTGGTTTAATCTTCAGATAAGCTGTGTGGTAAATACTACTCCTATGAAATTTGCAACTAATAACACATAGTTGAAGCACTGCAAACATATGAAACAAATAACTAAGGTGTCCACCAATGAGCTGGAAAACAAGCTGCATAGAAGTGTCATTTTTCAATCTTCATTTAAAAACAACAATTTATGTAAATAATAGCTGTCCCCAGTTGGCCCCGTTTTACATCTTTTTGATTGCTTCTTCATCCTATTTCATCTTGAGGCTTTCCCGATTCAACTGCAACCCCCATATATGAAGGAAGGAGTTTCCAATTACTAAAAACACACTGCAGCATTGGTTACACAGAAATGTGAGTAAGTCATTACACAAAAAGAAAATAATTAGGTACGATCATGAGTTATGTTTAGCAGCGAACATTCTCCAACTGCTGATAGTTATGTCCATTTCCTTCAATAGGACCTTGTTTGTCCACATATTAGTTACTTTTCTATTGCTGTGAAAAAAAATATCCTGAACAGGGCAACTTGTAAAGTAACCCCTTAATTGGGATTATGGTTTCAGAGGGTTGGTGTTCATGATGACAGAGCAAAGGCAATGTGGCAGGGACAGCTGAGAGCTCACATCTTAATCCTCAAGCACTAGGCAGAGACAGAGAGAACACTGGGAATGGCCTAAGTCTTTTGAAACCTCAAAGCCTGCCCCTGGAGAATAACCTTCCTTAAGAAGAATAAATCCCAGTCCTTCCCAAAACCTTCTGGTTCCCTTCTTCTGGGAACCAAACCTATGGTGTTAACTCTCATTCAAACAATCACGAGCCACAACTATGTTTTTGATTATGAAAATAAAATCAGCCGGGCATTGGTGGCACATTGGTGGCCTTTAATCCCAGCACTCAGAAGGCAGAGGCAGGTTGATCTCTGTGAGTTTGAGACCAGCCTGGTCTATAAGAGCTAGTTCCAGGACAGCCTCCAAAGCCAAAGAGAAACCCTGTCTCAAAAAACCAAAATATAAATAAATAAATAAATAAATAAATAAATAAATAAATAAAATCACCAAGGGACATCTTCCTTTTTAATTAAAATTATATATAATTGAAATAGGTGTAAAATTAACTTTGGATTTTTCTTTCTTTTTTTCTGTTTTTCTAATGAGGAAAGTGTGAACACAACCCATCATAAATTATTCTGTCAAGTTTCCTGAATTTATGGAAATTGAAGGGATCAGTACATCCAGAGTGCAATGGATTAACCTTGCCCAGGGAAAACCAACTTCAAAATCATAGTATCTCCCCTGCCAGGTAAGTGTAACTTTGTAGTTTTTTTAAGATTAGTAGTGCAGCTGGTATATTAAAGAATGTTTCCAAATTCAAAAAAATATTTATTTGATCCATGCTTTTTTCCTTGGGATCATTTATTTATTTATTATTTTGGTTTTTCAAGGTTTCTCTCTGTATCTTTGGAGCCTGTTCCGGAACTCACTTTGTAGAATAGACTGGCCTCAAACTCATGGAGATCCTCTTTCTCTGCCTCCTGAGTGCTGGGATTAAAGGAGTGCACCACCACCACCACCACCACCACCACCACCACCACCACCACCACCACCACCCGCCCTCCCACCCATTTTTGTTTTTTTGTTTTAAAAAATGTCAAGGGGATTCAATAGAGTTCCTGACACATTTGGAAACAATTATAAAAAGATTGTTCCTTCAATATCTTTTTAAAAAATAATTACATAATATTTGCTGTGACACACATTCATTGAATGTTGATATTTGCAGAATGACAATAAGCAGGTTTTTCTAACAGTGCCTCTTTTCCTAGAAAATTAAAACGAATCTTATACTTTTCTTTTCATGACCCAAGTACATCAAAACATTTAAGAGCAGCTGCTTCCTTATCAAAGTTCAACAGACTCATCTATAGTTACCAAAGATGTATCATTTTCTTTGCACACAAGGATTCCCTTAGGCAGTAATGAGCTCAGAAATAACAAACATGCTTAGATTAATGTCCCAATTAAGCCTGTTTGAGTGGGGTATTACAGCAAGGCATTTCTGAAGACCAGTAAGTATGTCTACCTCACAAGAAAGTTATGTGACTGAAGGAAGGGTTTTCCTCTTCAAATCAACAAAAGACTGTATCTATTCCTGAGATAAAACTTACCTTAACATTTCAATTACTAATTCAGAATTGTGAAACCAAGCTTTTGAGTAAGAAAACCTAAGTACAGAAAATTTTCTCAAAGATGCTAAGATAAAATTACTCTTAAATATTATTTCCCTACGGATTACTGAACTAGAAAGGACATTGAAGTGAGATTGAATGTATGAGTTTTTCCCTTTTGCTTTTCACACATTCATTTCTATCTCTCATTGTAGCAGAGTCCTGTCACTATGAGCACCTCTTCACAACAGTGTGTGCCTGCTTTCGAATCTGTTTAGATACTACACTACAGAAGGACTGTTCCTGAAAGGTTTTGTAGCCTACCATTCTATTTTTTTAAAAAAAATGAAACATTTTTTTTCATTAGAAATTTTCTTAGGTATCAACATTGACTTAGCTTTCATAAAATGGGACGCACAAATCAGTGATCTTGCTACTGCATTTTTAAAAGCCTTCATTTTAATGTTTACTACCTTGGAAGCTTTAATTCCCTTCAAGATTCCTAGTAAGCAGTCTCTTCATGTTGCATATGCATGAAACAAAGCAGAATAAAAAGCTATACACAAAACTTCAACCTTATTTGTGATTTCTCTGATCTCTTTTCCCCAACTTAATCTTGACACTTAAGGAGCAACAGCCCAGAAATGGATTATCTCAGTAAATTGCTTAATACAGTTCCCAGTGTAGGGGACAGAAGGAAAGAAGCATGGAGCTCTTTTGACAAACATGAGCAGGCTGTGGTTATGAATATTATTCTATTTGGATACTTCATCAAATCAGTCTCGTACTTTCTTCTCCTTGATCCTGCCTCGCCAATGACTGACGCATCTGCTTGTCTGATCAGAATGCTGCTTTGTAGGTAAACTGAATTTCTCTATTTGCAGACAAGAATGAAAGTTGAAAGAGTATCAACATGTTTGGGATTCCAGGCTGGAGTGACAGACTAAATTTTCAGTCCTGATTATTTTTCATAAACACTAAACTTTATTTAATGTCGGAAAAGCAAGAAAACACTTGGAGAGTTTTCATTGTTTAGGCTTCACATGTTTTCTTTTGACTTTTGACTTATATGTGACTTGGTATGAAAGACAGTCCACAGGCCAATTTGGGGATAGTTATTTTCTTTACTCATTTAATTAATGCTCATGTTATGCAACGATAACATTAAATTTTATACAACTTTGCTCTTCACACTGCCTTCACTGTTGAACTGTCTCTTTTTAAACTTTCTTTTATTCTTTTGGAATTTCCCTTTTCCCATTTTTAAAATTTGAATTAGAAACAAGATTGTTTTCAATCCCAGTTGCTCTCCCTCCCCTCCTCCCCTGCCCCATCTAAAACCCTACCTATCCTATACCCTTTCTGCTCCCCAGGGATGGGGAGGCCTTCCATTGGTTTTTCAAGAAAGGATTTCTCTGTGGCTTTGGAGGCTGTCCTGGAACTAGCTCTTGTAGACCAGGCTGGTCTCAAACTCACAGAGATCAACCTGCCTCTGCCTTCTGAGTGCTGGGATTAAAGGCCACCAATGTGCCACCAATGCCCGGCTGATTTTATTTTCATAATCAAAAACATAGTTGTGGCTCATGATTGTTTGAATGAGAGTTAACACCATAGGTTTGGTTCTGTCATATTCTTTGGGATAGGGCCTAGGCCCACCCCTGTGTGTCTTGGCTCAGGGAGTATCCCTCTATGTGGAATGGACTTTCTTTGGGAATTCCTTGCATATAGTACGTTTTGATCAAATCCATTGCCCTTTCCATGTTTTCTGTATCGTCCCCCATATTCCTTAACATTTTTACCCTTCAAATTTCTTTTTAAAATCAGATTTTAAGAGATTCCAGCTTTTAAAATTATGTTTGTGTCTTCTTGTGGGTGTGTGCAGAGGAGCATAGGTACCCTCAGAGGCCAAATGTGTCAGATACCCTGGAGCTGGAATTACAGACATCTGTAACTACATGATAGAACTCACATCAGTTGGAAGGCATGTGAAATGGGTCTTGGGAACCAAACTTGTGTTCTCTGGAAAAGCAAGAACTGTTAACTGCTGAGCTATCTGTCTAGCTTCCGTACCTCCAAACTCTTGATACTTTTTACTAAACCAACTGAGACCACTTAGTGCTCTAGGTATTTGTATGGTATAAAACAATTTATGTGATGGAACATGACTAGACTAGCAGGGTCCACAATCACTGAAGAAAATCTGCCAGAGCAGCTTTCCATGTGGAATAGCTGCTCAACTAGGATGGACTTCATGACCCTCCCACATATCCAGTCAGGGAGTTTGCCTGACTTAACTTCTGTACAGGGCTGCACATACAGTCACAGCTGCTGTGTCTTTGTGTGTGCAAAGGCGCTGCCATTTCCAAGTAACATTTTGTTGCAGATATCCACTAGTTTTGCCCCATATAATCTTTTTTCCTTCTCTTTCCACAATGATCTGTGGACCTTGTGGGGAGGGGAATGATATAGTTGAACTAATTCAAAGCTGAGCTCTGCAGCAGCCTCTTATTTGTTGCCTGTGGATCCGCTGTGAAACTCTGTATTAATTGTCATCTACTGAAAAAAGAAATTTCTCTAACCAGAGTTGAAAGGTGTAGTACTCTTTAAAACTTAGTAAGAAAATGATACTAAGCATTGGAAAAAATGAGCTATGTTGAGTAATTCAATTTGGGTGATATAAATGCCAGATTTTTACTGCTCTGATACCAACCAATATTTCTATGAAATAAAATTGCATTTAAAAACGAATTCGTTTAGGATTACTAAAGGCAATATTCTGATAACTCTGGGATCACCAATGAAACAATAGGCAGTAGCTATATAAGAAGTATGGCGAGCAATTCAGTTTATAATAAGAACAGCAGCACACAACATGGCAGAATGTTTCATCTGAGTTATAATCATTAGTACTAGGATTATTCTGAAGGAAAGTCTAAGGAATGCAAGTTTTTGTTTTTGTTTTTCGAGACAGGGTTTCTCTATGTATCTTTGGAGCCTATCCTGGCACTCATTCTGGAGACCAGGCTGGCCTCGAACTCACAGAGATCCATATGCCTCTGCCTTCTAAAGGTGTGTGCCACCAATGCCCGGTGTAAGTTTTATAAATGAGGTTATCCTTAGTAATGAGCAGGATAGTTATAGGCATTGTAGAAATAGTTTGACAATAGGGTTTCATCAGATTCTTTTTCTAGCTTGGTATGGGTCATTCTCTAGTTGAAATGTGAGTTAGGGCCTTATTATTTCACCTATCTTAAACCAATACTATTTTTAAAAAGTTATTCACACCCTTGACAAGGTAAATATTAAAACCAAATTTTCAAGTCCCTGACCATGACTCTATTTAATTTTGTATGAGTCTTCTCTTTTCCCTTCTCCTTTCCCATTCTGTTTCCTTTCATTTCCTTGAGTTCCCTCCCAGCCTAATCCTCCCTTTTCACTGTTATCTTCTCCCCTTCCCTTTCTCACTGTCCAGTCCTCTCTTCTTTGCTTCTCTCCTCTTGTTTTTCTTGGTGTTAGTGTTGGCACCAAGGCACTGGCGGATCCCAGGCAAGCTCTCTACTGCCATGTATCGCTCTATCTTTCCACATCTTTCTGGCAATTTTCACTCCTTAATTTGTGTGTGTGTCTAACATACTCCTCTCTTTGCTTTTTTTTTTTCTAGCTAACCTCTCAGAAGCCAAACTGTAACTCCTCCCCTTTGAATGTGTGGATATATGATAGTTACTAAGTAAGGAGAAAAAAATACCAAGTTTTCCTTCACATGGGTGAGCTTAAACATAGTTTTCAAGTTTCCCCCTGCATTTCTTTTACTCAAATCTATGTAATGTCTAAGTGAGACTCTCAAGTTTCAGCCCTCTCCCAATGATGTCTATGTTTTTCTAAAGGGCAATGAATTTCCAGATAACTTGTGTATCTTCTAAAGATGTTCTTCATCTGTTACAAAAAGCACCCTAGCAGGGCTCTCAAAGATCTGTGTCCTTGAGGAAAATAAAAAATATATGTAAAAGGTTACTTTTCCTAGATTTCATCACAGTAAAATAAATATGTGTCAGAAATGAAAGAGGCAACGGGAAGATAAACAGGAGAGTCAAATAGATGCTCAACAATGAACAACTATTGTGCCAAGGGTGATAGGAAATCATG